GTTCAGGTTTTACAGTTCTAGTGGCGTTTAAAGGCTGAACGGCCAACCGCTGACTCCGCCCCCTCCAGGGCCGCTGCGCTGTGGGCCCGCGGGTCACGCGGCGGTGAGTGCTAGGGCCGACGGAACTCAAGACGGCGGTTTGAGGTGCCGCTGTTTGCTCTCTGGGTCGCGACCTACAACAGCCTGAAAAAACAATCACTTCGTTTCGAGCAATAAAAAAAAACACAGTTATGAATAACATGTTTAATTTCTGCCGATGAATCGCCGTCGTCATACAAGCTGGACCTTTAGGTTAACATTTACTGATCGATTTGACATTGTAGCCTCAACCCTTAAAACCCTTATTCATTCACTCATCTTTATATGAACTAGATTTTGGTCCGTTTGTGAACATTTCCGTGACAACAGCCACTGCAGACATTTGATCAAATGGAAGTCTGATAAACACAGCCCCCGTGAGGCTGTCCTTTAGAGCAAGCTACAGATTTCCAGAAGATCCACTTAAACCGGTCGGTGAACAGCAGCACAGGCGGCACACAAGTGCAAAAGCATGTCGCGGTGGAACGGGGGCACCGGAGGGTTTATACTTATACCGGAGGATTGTGTCGCGTGACTCAAAGGACGAGATGGTAACACGTTCAGACCTCATCTCGGAAATCTCTGCAAAGGAGAATCTTCGGATCTACAACAATACGAATTTTAACTCCGCGGTGCACCGCTGACCCTTGACCTCCAGGTAGCGGCAGGAGTGCACAGCTGATCAGTGAGACTGCCACTATCATTTTCATTAAGCCTTTATTAATCCTTAAGGAGCTAAATGAGGATGAGCAGTGCACAGACCGCAATCAAAGAAATAAATAAATGCAGATTACACTACATTAAAATAGATATCCAAGCGTATATAAATGAGATGACAGTAGTTGTTTTAATAGCATTGAGTCAATTCTATGCTAAAAGTGTACAACTTTTTTATGAATTTATCTATCTATTATTATTCTGATTGTTGCTAACTATTTGCTTAGTCTATAAACTTTGAGAAATAAAAGCAAATATCCTTCCCCAGTTTATCTTTGCTATTTCACATTTGCTTTCATTAAATTCTTTGATTACCATTTCTTTTACTTTGAAATCGCCAGAGATAAGATCAAGATATCTCTGAAATAGTCGAGGACAGTGACCAAACAAACCACATGACATGTATGTATTGTTAAACAGGATTAGGGCTGCAACTAACGATTATTTTGATAATCGATTAATCAGTCGATTATTTCTTTGATTAATCGATGAATCGGATAAAAAAACAGCATTAAAAAGCTTTCATTTCCTACCCTTTATTCTAAAACAGAACTGCAAATTCACATACAAAAATACTTCAGAAAGTACAGGTTGCTCCTTGAACATAATCATTTATAAAAAAGAAAAATACATCAGAAAAAAAAAAAACAGGATTTGTTTTACCGTCAGAACTTATTCTCTATACTACACTCACAAACTCGCACACTCACAACACACCCTCATGTTCACTTATTCGTACTATGAGATGAATTTAAAAGGGCATTTGTAAATAAAGAGGCTTCCTAGTTGATTTAATGGATCACCGTGTGTCTCCCTTTACAGGCGTAACATCAACTACTGTAAAATCCACCGTATATGCGCAGCAGACTACCGTATATGGCAGCATTAAAAAGTACGACACACAAATATATTTGTCAACAATAACAGATATGTGACAAAGCACGAAATACGTACAAGACAACCGATTGAATGATTGGACGACTACTCGAGCAGGCGTCTCATGTCAAGTCATGTGACTCAACAACTGGCGGCAGCGCCGGCTGCTCTTTCCTCCGCCTCGGCTCGGCTCCGCAACTCCTTGAGTGACGAATCGATAATGAAATCCGTTGCAAACGCTTTTAATAATCGAATTTTATCGATTTCATCGATTCGTTGTTGCGGCCCTAAACAGGATCAATGGGGTTATTGGTGTGTCTGCTTTTTGGTGTATTGTCATTTTGCTACACTGCGACGGGGCCTTTTCCTTTTCACAAAGTAACCATGTTCATTGGCCCACCATCGATCCCAGATGAGGACGTATGAGGAAAGCGACACCTTGAGATTAAGTGCTCGTCCCCGGAGGTGAGAGTCCTTCAGACCAGATGGCAGAGAACTTCTAAACCGGTGCCCTGCAGAAAGCCGCTTGATTAGCTTCTTGTGAGGATTTAATAGACGGGCAGTTAAGAAGAGAACAGGTGAGCGATTCTGTTTCCTGCACGGTGTGAAGTATAGATCGCAGACAAACTGAGCCTTTGATTGATTAAATAATGACGACAACGACGTTGAGCAACAGGGCTCGCAGACATTTCATTGGGTCTGAATTCACAACTACTCACGTAAGATGCATTCATTGGAATCAATGAAGTGCTGTTTAGTGCAAAAACTGCTGCAGATGTAAACGGTAATGGAGCAATCAATTTTCTTTCCTCATTCAACACTTCAGAGGAACGGGACAAATAAAGATTTTCCATTCCTTCTTTTTTTAAGCTTCGTCCTCGTACACAGTTGTCATCGAAGCCGAATCTACCTGGTGGGAGATCATCTAAGGGGAAAAGTACACTTGAGGTCGTCTAAATCGTCTAGATAAATGCATTTTTAATGTTTTTCTTGCGGAACATTGAAGACGAGGAAACACACTGACTCGAAACTCCGTTTGCAAATATTAGTAGAAAAGGAAACTGGCATCTGCCTTTCTTTGTAACTAATCTAAATCCATCTATATTCATCAGGATCCTCTGGGAAAGTCTTGATTGGTAATTCCGAACAAATTCCCCTCATTGTGTTGTTCATCAGCCGCGCAAAGGCACCGAATAACAGGCTTTATCTCCCGAGAACTATTAAAGAAAAACACGCATACTGAAAAGTCAGTATGAAATGAGAGTAGATGTAGTTTGCTTTAACGGGGCGTTATTGTGTCCTCTGCACATTTCTATGGAGGCTCCTGTAAACATAACATTCCTGTGACGATAAAGGACGCAGAGCTCATTGCCCTTTTAGTGAACGATCAAATGCTACGTAGGCGCCGCCGAACCGGTTTGATGAACAGCTAAAACCGATGTTTTTCTTCTGTCCGGATGTTCCGATGCGAACGTTAGAATCGTGGTTATTATCGTCATTCAGACAAAATGTGGGTGAAAGCTAATCAAACTTTCCGCATATGTCCCAACGCCCGTGTTGACACGGCTGCACCGACGTAATGCAAATTCTCGCTGTGTAAAAAAGGTCAAGCGGCGTTGTCATGGCAGCTGTTGTCTCAGTTTCATAATTGCACAACAAAAAGGGAAATGTTTGGCAGTGTTTTGAATCATATCCCGTTTGTAAGCTAATGCGGTAGAAAAAAAGATGAATCTGCCAGAGCTTGACTTGTTATTGTGCTGCGTGGATTAGAGGCGCGTAGCGTGAAGGTTTAATGATGACTAAAGGTCCAGGCAGCTCCATTGTATTTCTGATTTGTCGTCTTCTTCCTCCTCAAAATACCAGACCCTGACTCGCTGCCGCGGCTGGAATTTAAATTAGTTTTGCTCGAACCAACACAACAGTCTCATTCCACTGCTGGAGAGTCTCGCCGTGGGTTCAGAGATAACGCCTGGGAGTAGGAGGGGGGGGGGGGGGGGTCACGTCAGCCTAAAGTGCCGTGTGCTTTCTGGGATGGCGGGTATCATGAGCCGTGATTGCTACTTTGAAGGCAGGCGGTGTCAGCTGGTTGCGGCTGCGGGTCAAGGTGAAACGCACCCGGGGGGAGGAAACATGTGATTAGAGCCGAGAGCTGCGCCAGATGAGCCGGTTGAGATATTTCTGCATCCACGGCGGGAGGCGGGAGGTAACCGCGGCGACGTCTTCATTTACACGCACATGCACTTTGAGCTGTGGACTAAAACAGCTCCTCTGCATAAAGATCTTCTGTCCACACGGCGACGCTTTACAAAACATTTGATAGTGGGTTTTATGGCAGTGTAAAATCAGCTCCTCTTCAAACAGCTTAGTATGACTCTTCAGGTTGGTATCGCTCACAGTGAGATGATGAAGAGATTGTAGATCCTGGATCCCGTCGGGACGGCGCAGGAAAAACAAAGAAAAGGGCCGCAAACATGGCGATACATTGCCGCGGAAACGGCATAAATTACATAAAATGACAAGTGTTTCATTTTGTGTAATTATTATTGTAAAATGCAGCTTTCTCAAAGCTATTTCAACGCGAACTTAAGCGCCTTTCTCCCGTGAGGACATTCAAGCGCGCGTCGTGTTGCCCGGGGAGATTTACCCTGCGCGCCTCATCTGATACTCCAGCTCCCGCCCCCCCGATACGATATCCCGTATACCATCCGCCTGACTGCATGTGACCAAAATCCATTCCATCTAACCAGGTCTTAATTATCAGGGCTCCCCCCCCCCCTCAAGCACTGTAAGCGAGTCAAAAGTTTTTATTCCAATTTCACTCCAATTACGTCTTGATCTTTTCTCCCCAATAACACGCAGATGCTCTCGCTCATCTTCGCTGCAGTCACCGCAACCGTAATTAATCGACAAACCGGCAACCTGATGGGAATAATGGGCGGAATCAATCTGAGAACAATCAATATGACGACGCGCACCCGCCCCCCCGCTTCTATGAATCATACAGCTCTTCATCGGCGAGACGGAGCGGCGCTCTGTTTCCACTCGAAAAGGTACGCTGCTGGTTTCACCGGCGACGACGACGACGACCGGAAAGAACCTGGCGGCGCCTTCCGGGCTGTGGGGAGGCGGCGTGGGGATCGAGAGGTGTCGCCACAGCTGAAGTGCACCTTTATAGATCCGCTGTGACCGAGCGATCCCATCGGAAAAGGCCCTTCACCGCCCGATCGACCAGGCCACCGCGTCGTTCTTCCCTTCCACTTGATCACGGAACGAGCTCGGGCACGCGTGGCACGAAGAGGTGTGCGTATGTGCGCGCTGGCGTGCGTTACCTGTTGCAGTCGACGTGCAGCAGCAGGTGCGTGGCGCTGACGGTGAGGGCGACCTTGTGCCACTGGCCGTCAGCCAGGCGGTAGGGGAAGGACTCGGAGCGCGGCTTGCCTTTGAAGCGGTAGTGGTAGCGGATCTCCTCCCTCACGCCGCTGCTCTCCAGCTCGAAGTAACTGGGGAGGAGGAGGAAGAGGAGGTCAGAGGGAGAGAAAAGAGGTCGCACAGAGCAGGTTGGTGGGTTATATTCTTCGGGGGAGGCTATTGGGGAACAGAACAAGTCTTGTTTAAGAGCGGGTATCAGATTTGGTGCAAAGCCGTGATCGGAACCAGGAGTTGAAATGAGATCTACCTAAAGCAGTGGTTCTCAACTGGTCTGGCTCCGGGACGCACCATCACCCCTCAATGACAAGCCGCGACCCAAATCGAGGACCGTTCTCAACTTCTCAAATTTATTTAATGAAAATATGGTGCAGTTTGAACCTGAGATAGTGTGGAGACAGAATGCGTATGCCAACACAAAAACAAGTTTAATGAAAAAACAAAACAGCCAGCTGTTAATTCTAATTTTTATTTTCCCAGGCAAAGGCGACCCATTAAAAACGGGCCCGTGACCCATTAAAAAAGGGCCCGCGACCCACCAGTTGAGAATCACTGACCCTAAAGGATACGATACTGAACGTATCTTTCAGATTGGGTTTGCTGGTTAGAAAACAATCTGCTGACTTGAAACTGGCTCATTCTAGTACTTTTATTCACAGAGTACAAAAAATCTCACAATGAAATTCATCATTCGACCAATCAGCTTGTCTTATAGACTAGTGTCCGACTGGCACTAAAGAGTCTAAAGTGGAAATGTTTCATCCTCTGAAGGACATACAGACGACGGTCTGAAATCGTGGGGTATGTGGTGGGATATTTAGACACACAGTTGCATTAGAAAAACAGGTACATTTCTAACCACATTGGACCTTTATGATGGTTAATACGATGCTCTGAACATGTTTTGCATGAATTGGAGCCAAATGGACGGACTGTAAAGCCCAAATCAGGCAGACACACAAAAATACAAGTATAATTTAATCTAGCAGAGATTCCCTTTGAAGCCAAAGTCAAGAACACCGCGATTAACGGATTTGACATTTTATTAAAAAGGCCGCTCTCATCCCGACCCCGAAAAACAGCGAAATAGAACCACAGCGCGGCGTGTAGAAACAACAGCGAGTCAATGTTTTATCAAACGGCCGTGTGTGAAAAGATGTCTGACAGCTTGTCCAACCGAAGGGAAGCGAATAAAGATATTTCTGTTTCCAGGTGAGCTGCTGCTCGCTGGTTACGCAGCTGCAGCGCTTCTGCTTTCTCTCTCTTCGGCGTACCCCCGACTTCCTCTTCCCACGAGGAGCCACGTTCTTCTGGGGGATTTATCCGCCTCAGGAGGCCAAATGAACGTTATGCAGGCTGCGCTTTAGCTAAATAATGAAATAATTGTTCAACTTTGGAAAGTTGTGACTCATGGCTTATTGGGCATCATCACCTAGCCGATTCCAATATATTCAGACAGAGAAAACACTCGCACAGGGATCAAGCCCATCCAATACCAAAGCTTAACATCTCTCATGTATATTTATGCTGAGGGATATCCAGAGAGGCATATTTTTCCAACTTTACTGCTCAGAAAATGAAGCAAACTAACACAAAAAGCGCACACTTGAGGATGAAATATCCAGATATATAAAACCACCTGCACAGGAGAAGTGGTGGCCTTTGCCTTGCAGCTCAACGGCACGAAGTGATGACGTCAGCACTGTAGTGCGGCCTGACTGCGAGTCCTGAGAGAAGGTTTCTCTCTGCTTCTATAATAGAACATTGTGTTCACCAACGAGTCCGATGGAGAAAACCAGCAGAGGAGCATTCAGACAGTCGGTGTGAACAAGCCAAACAGATGATCTAAACCCCTTCATTTAAACCAAGGGCTGTAGGAACTAGAAGACTAGTAACTAGAGAAAGTTCAACATATCAATATCTATGAATATATAGCAGCCTTGGCAACATGATCATCTTGCTGAAATATCTATAAACCGACTGCTGTAACCAAGAGGAGAGAGAGAAGAGGAAGGATTTAGGGTTCAGAAAACAGAGTTCAAACCTTTCCACGGAGCTAATGACTAATCCCCCATCAGCCCCCCACGCAGAGGCCTTTGTCATCACCAAAACAATTATCACACAGCAGATTAACAAGCAACACAGGGAAGTGTTTTTCTACAACGTTAAATTGCGATTTCATTGCTTCGAGTCGCACTTGTATTTGTGGGTGAGAGAGAGAGAGAGAGACTCCTACAGCGTGTCCCCCCCCCCTCTCCTTCTCCCTCCCCCCGTCTAAAGGAGACAAAGCGAGGAGGGAAGCGTACGCGAGAGCTCTTCAGATTCCACTCGAGAGGCCCGACATCACTGGACGAGCAGAGCGATTTCTCTGTAACAACAATGAGCGTTATCACTATTTTGAAGGCGTTCTGATCACTGTGGATGCTTTTATAACCAGCTGAAAAAACTGAAAATGTTCACTTTCTTCACTATTGCGTGGACCCAACAGACCCTTAACGTGAGCATCAGGTTTCACAGAAAACTGAAGATCAAGTCAGCACCTCAAAGCAAACAGAAAATATCGACTAACAGTGTGTGAATGGAGCACAAAGCAGCAAAGAGTCAAATCGTAATGCGTCATTTAACCAAATAATTGCGAGGAAACAATGTGCAGCAGACGATGGATGATGGGACGCGGAGGGCTGAAAAAGGACACGCTGCTGGCGTCCTCCACCCTCGGACAGGACGCTGCACTCAGTGAGGCGTCAGGCTTTGTTTGGTCAATTACGTTGCATTTGGTCTGAGAATGTGGACTTGAGGAGGAGAGAGTCCCTGACCTGGACCGCGGCTTTATTCCCATCTGGTTCCTGCTAAACCAAACAACAATCGTCAAAGAAAAACACTCAACGCTGCAATTCTTTATATTAAACTGGCCCTGGTTTCTGCATCAGAGCCGGAGCTAAATGCAGATGGACACACTTTAATATGATGGATCAACATAAAACCAGCTGGGCTGCAAAAGGCGGCAAACGTCCACCTTCGTGGCCGCTCAATATTTGGGACGTCTTGCCAATTTTGTCCATTCCTTTTAAGATGAAGCTTAAAATAAAAAATGTTTTCCCGGAGAAATAACTTCCCTGATAAGAGGCTCTTGAACTGATGGAAAAAATACTTTCAAAAGGAACGCTATCACTACAAAAGAGGAACCACTGGTATTTCACCCTATTTTCCCCTTTTGAAAATAGCTCCAGTTTCAGATTGAAAACGCTTCAAAAAAAAGAGCCAGCCGCTGAAAGGTCAGGCGACGTGACCACTGGGGTCAACGGGGCGTCCGCCCAAAAGGCCCCCCCTCGCCACCGACAGGCTCCGATTGTTGACTCGGTCAACATGGTGGAAAGCGGCGCGCAATTGTTATTCTCATGGTGAAATCTGGATTGGCGTCCACGTTAATGAAATCAGCTAAATGTTCAGCCGTGGCCTTGAGACATCGGCAGCGAGTCACATGAGCCAATAACAACCGATCAATCTGCAGGTTTGGTTCCGTTCCATTCAACACGATGCGAAAATCCCCAAGCTCCAGCTGACCGGTGGAACAAACGCGGCGAGTTGCGGCGACCCAAACTGCGGAGTAATGAAGGAACGTGCACAGCGGCGGGGTCGCAGGTCACCTGATGTGGACATTGCGGGGAGGGTTCGGGGGAAGAAGCCGCACGGCTGACAAGTGGTCTTCATCAAAAAACGAAACCGTCTGTGGGAGAAAGGTTTTTTTTGGAGGGGGAATGAATGAATGGCTGCCCCGGGAGTGGTGGCGGGGCAGGCCGTATATCCTCCCGTCCCTCCCCGCTGCGCGGCGCCGCGCTGCTCCTTCTTTATGGAGGGCAGCTGACAGCCAATTATCTGCTCGACAGAAGGTCAACACTCGAGAGCTGGTCGGTGGAACGGGCGGAGAAAGGCGGTAAAGCAGAAGCGAGGATGGAGGAAGACGCGTCGATGCCTTTGGTTACTGTCCTGAACAACGGGGGAGAGGGGGGGGGGGGCGTCACATGACTGAGTTTCTGCATCAGCCGATGGTCTCCTCACACCGGTTTCGTCCTTTATGGAGGAGGGGGGCAGCCGAAGCAATGTGAATACTGTTGGACAGGTGAGGCAGGTGTGCTGGTCCCAGGGGGCAAGGGTGGGGGGGGGGGGGGGGGGGGGGCTGGGCTCAGGAGGATCCTGTCATTCAAACCAACAGCAAACAGTGCCGGCGTGTTGGAGGTGTGAGGCATGGCGAGTGGAAGATTGCCTCTTTTTGTTGTTGAGCCTTTGTGGTGCTGCGCGAGTATTTTCTTTTTCCTGTGGGTCTGATGTTCTTTAGGGATCCTTCTTATAGGCGTCGATCGCACAGCTTCTCGGCCCGGGGAGTTTGTTTTTTTTACTCATTTCTTTCTAAAAAAAAAAAAAAAGAACCCGCTAACAGACGGAACGTCAATGTCCTTTTCTTAAAGCTCCTGTGAATCGATATGTTTCACGTCAACAACAAATAACGACCTGTAATTTGAAAGAGCTTTGAAATGATGCACTTATAGACGGACCCAAAAGTCGGGATGAGCACGCACACGCACACGCACACACACACACACACACACACACACACACAATGAGAGAAGGACAAGAGAACAAATAGTCAGAAAAGTATGTGAAGGTTTCACATGATGAAAAGAGAAAAGGGGACGAGACCAGAGGCTATAAATGAGAATATTTGGACATTAACATTAAATGTTTACTCTTCCTACTGAGAGTTTAAAACCAGTGACGCCCAGAGACCATGGCGAAGATCAAAAGCAGCGATGGGAAGCGCCGCTACGAGACAAAGCACAAATCTTTTCGGCTAACGTGGCAACTCACATTTAAAATAAAGCAACAGAAATAAAACCAACTACCCAAAATGGTTAAAATTTAAACAGTGATTCACCGACTAACAGGGATATTAAAAGAGGGAACCAGAGAGATTGTGCTTTATTTCCTTAATAGCCCCTATTTTGCTCAAAATGAAAAGAAAAACATTAGATCAGATTTGTCCAGTGCAATTTGAAAGCAGAAAATTACTTTTGTTGGGATATTATTTAATTGAACACCTTGAGAGCCTCACAGTTTGCTGCGCTGCCTTATGGCGTCTTGCATGGTGTCTTTGTCTCACTGGCGTCTTTTAGCCGCTGCTAACGTGTTTGGGCTAAATTATGAGGAGTGTATCGCACGACTACTCCGAGCCAATTGTTTGCATTGCTCGTTTGAATGACGACACTTCACAGCCCCCGGGGTCGTTTCCCTTCACCCAACGTTGGATCAGTCACGTGGCGGCCAAGTTCTTATTTTAATTGACACCCGTGCGTCAAACAAACTTTTCCCCCACAAAGTCTAGTCATAACGAGTCCCTCTCCTCCGTCTGTCGACTTCAGCGCGGCACGTTTCCACAAAGGAGACGGACGTGGAGGTGCAGATGAGGCGAGGCGAGGCGAGGGGGGCGAGGCGGACCCGGGGAAAAGGACAAAGCGGCGTGGCGGGGGCGAACGGAGCGGCTGGAGGAGCCGGCTGAGCGTCTGAGGCCTTTAAGCGCTCAGGTGGGTTCAGCGGGCGGAGAGACGGGGCTTTGAGTTACTGCATCACAGAGCGACTGCGAAGTTGCTGACAATGAGAGCGTCGCTGGGACCCACAAGAAGAAGAAGAAGAAGAAGAAGAAGAAAACTGCCGGGTAGGTAGAAAAAGGCTTCTTTGGTTCTATTCAGCTTAGCGGAGCATCAATGAGAACCGTCTCTCCCGTTCCCCGGTGGCCAGGCACAAGAAGAAGAAAGAAACACTTCCTTCCGCGGGTACCTAGAAACGCTTTCATTCAGGGAGGTTCTCACTTTGAGGATGAGGAGAGCGCAGGATGAGGAAGGATATTATCATATCGGGAAGGCAGCGCTGGCAGAGGAGGTGGGAGGGAAGACGGAGGGCGGTTTGATTGTCGCCGAGAGAGAGACAGGGCGAAGTTAAGAAGGGAGAGAAGGAATGCGTGATGGGATGTGGGGGGGGGGGGGGCGCCTGTGTCATAATGGGAAAGGACCGGCATCGGACCAGAGCTCTAACAAGGCCTTCGGAGGGGATTGAGAGGTTCAGAACAAATCCTCGGTCACAATGGGGCGCTGCGAGCCAGTCAAGACTCCATCTGGCCAAATTTAATTACACTGGCAGTGTTGGGACTCGCACAGCAGCTTGTCTCAAAAACAACTCGGGCCCTCCGCGGCTCGGCTGAGCCCGAGTTGCATCCCAGTACCTACTTCATCAAAGATATTCACTAGTAGAAAGAAATGGAAGGAGAGCTTTGGAAATCATATAGATTTATTATATTTTGATTGAGAAATGAGCACATTTAAAACACCTGCCACCTCCACAGTAATGTTTGTGTCCACAACATGACTTTTTAAATGCATTTATTCATTTTAAGCGCGACTGTGATTTGCCCCCCCTCCCTCTCTAATCCACAGCGCCGGCAGATCAGAAAACGGCCGTCAATAATTGCCAATGACTAATGATATATTGTGTTGTTTTGGTGGGAGGACATTAAAACACCGTGTGCATGATTACACACCAGCAGGCCGGGGTGATCATTTGATGTGATGATTGTCCTCCAATAGAATCACATATCACGGAAAAAATATCTAGATATAGTCATTCAAAATGATGGATCGACAACAACCATAGCAGTTAAATAACAATATTGTCTAAATCTATATTGTCTTAATCTCTGTCTAAATCACCTGTAAGTGTGTGTGTGTGTGTGTGTGTAATAAACAGTCAATCTTCTGCCAGCCATCCAGTAGTGAGACGAGAAGGTATCATGTAGATTACTCCTCATTTCCACCTCATAAATTAGCATGTTCCATCGTGTGGATTTGGTACACGAGCGACGTGAATGAATAGAAAGCAGGAACACAAAGTGAATAATCCAACAAAAGTTCATCGCCACGGCGTTTGACCGGTCAGGACAATTCTCCCGAATGAAAAAAAATCGAATTTGATTGCATATCACGCTCATGTTATAATATACAGTAATTTGGCACGGTGCTTACGTTAACATGTTAATATATACATATATACATATTACACATTACATTAAGTGCAGAAAGGCGCCTTATAATTTGAGGAAATTAAAAACACACAGGAGCCCATTAGTGCACATTAGTGTTACCCGAGTGTGTTCGAGGACGCCTCAGTGCGTGCAATGCAATATTTGCTCAGTCAGATCACTCCTCTGAGCTACGTATGCTACGCAGAGCATGTCATCGTGCCTGAGGGACGAGGACCGTGCAGCCCGTCTGCTCCATTCGGGCCGTCGTGTGCGGGTAATGTGAGAGGCGACTGTCGGAGCGGCGGAGAGAGAGAGAAAGGGGAGTGAAAGGCAACTCAGGGTCACCTTAGAAGCACAGCGGGGGCCGACACGTTTCTCTTCAAGAGTGGATCAGACAGGAGGCTCTTGAAGAAGAATGAGCGCACAGGCCGCCTCGTACACACGGGTGGAGAAAGGATTGTTTGCCTGAATGAAAGCAGCGAGAACAAGAACACTCCACCAGTCCTTGCATTCAGAAAACGGGAAAATAAAAGTGTGCCTCGTCTGCAAAATGTACTTAGAAGCACAAAGACATAAAGAATGTGTGTAATATGTGATTCCCGAGGATTTGATTTAAATCCATCTTGTGCACTGCTTAAATATTCTGTTTAGCTGCAAATACTCAGTAAGGAAGCTAAAGAAGCTGTAGCTTCTGTTCCAATGGGACTCGTGCATTTAGCATCAAAAGCTTTTGAGTAACCAGATGCCTCTTTTTAACACATTTCAGTGCAGAGGTTTCATACTTTTTGCTCTTGTGCCCCTTAAAACTCAAGCAATACTGACTTCTGACGCCTAATTGCATCATCATTAGACCTTGTCGGGTCTCTCTTTTTTTTTGATGTCTCTAATCTTAAGGATATTAAGAGGTCAGACTAAGAGGTCACAAGAAGAAAAGATAAGCGAAATAAGAGATTTTCTGAAAATATTTTGACAGATTGTTTAAAATGTGTCCCTGAGAACATCTATTAAGCCCTCAGACTACTTTTGGGGTCCCGAACCTCAGGTTTGGAACCAAGGGGTCTAGCTTTCCCTTCCCAACTATCTCCATCACTGCCATCGTGTATGAATTCTTTCTTTTTCTTCCGACTCCCGGCAAACACACAAAACCGGCTCCCTCGCGCGCACACTTGGAAATGCGCGTTCCACAGAACCGAAGGCCTTTGCTTTGAGCGGAGCGGAGGAAAATCAATGTTGCCCGCCGTCTAAAACAATTCGCACTTGCAGTGTGTCTCGGCGGCTCCAGGGGCGAGCTCGTGTCCTGCGGCCATCACATTCTGCAGCAGAATGCCTCCCATTGCAGCACATTCAATAAGCCTCCCCAAAGAAAAATAAGAAGAAAAAAAAAACAGCCAAGGAGAGATAAGCAACGTACAGAAGAATAAGAGGTGTAGTTTGTGCGCTCTGGCTGCAGCTCACTTTACAGGCCCGTGCATTCCAGTTATCAGAGACGCCTGTTGGCGAAGCGCTTTGCGATAAAACTCTCGGCGCGTCGCTCAGTTTCCTCGCAACTCATCTGACACGCGCAACGCGTGGAGGGGTTATCTTGCCACCCCGAGCATGCAGGGGGATACGGCGCCTTATTCCAGCCGTAGCCGACTTAAACCGGCAGTGAAGTAATCGCACACTGATCTTTACTTTTACTCCCAACTCATCAGCCGCCATCTGCAAACAGCTCGTGAGTGAGATGGGAATTTAATTTAGAAATTGGAGCGTGCAGTAACCGTGGTAAGGGAGTGAGGTTGTGCAGAAGGAAAAAAAAAAAAGGGGGGGCCGCAGGCCAAAATGCAGAGGATTACAGACAGATTACCTGTGTTCTGACTCGTGGATGGAGAATATGACTCCTGACGTGGAGGACTTCTGCTGGATGGAGGCCAGGAAAGTGAACTCGCTTTTCCTCCTGAACAGCTGCACCACTCGCTCCGTGACGTGAGCCGGGGCGTGAACTGCTCTCCCAGCATCTGAAGGAATGAAGTCAGATTGAAGGGAAATCATGAGCTTGTGTAGCGCTCGTCACGGGCGACGTGCTGCGAGGCCGAACGCACAGTCACACATTAAGCCGTTTAACCGCACGCGGCCGCTCACCTTCACACTATGAAGGTACACATCGGGACTTCTGTCGGGGGCAAAAGTAATCTTTTGATGCCACTATTCCGATGCAAATTTATATTTAGACATTCACTTTTAAATATGTGTGCGCGTTTACACTGAAAACACTTCACGTCGCTTTGAGGATTTTGACCTTAGTAAATCCATATAATTTGTCAGACTTTTTGCTTTAAAAGAGGAACACTAGACTGAAACAAGTGTATACAACATGTATTTATTTTTATAATGTATTTTTTTTATGTAATAAGCCTTATAGTGGCATTAGTTAATGCATTCTGTATTATTGTGTTAACATTCATGGTCCACAGAGGACAAATCTTTGACAGCTTTACTCTTCATCCAGCCCAAACAATAAGTCATGACTTTACATTGCATCCATAATACACTTATTACTGAAGGACAAACATTGCATAAACCCTCTTTTTTTCACGCCACCTCCATGTTAATGCGCTAATTGTCACCATTATCCACATAATGGAAAAAAAAAAAAAAAACAGGACCGAGTCTCTGCGAAGGTCAACAAGAGCCTGCGCGGCCTGTCGATCTGAATGTGAAGCTGCACGTAGGGGAGGAAATGGTGTTGACAGCGACCACGTGTCTGCGTGTGTGGATCCACACAGACGGCGGTACGTGACAGACAGTCAAGTGGAGAGCAGCCCGTGGCCGTCTCAGCGAGGGGCTTTTAAAAGTCCCCAGGGAGACGCCGACGCCGCCCCCCCGCCTGCCTTCACACTCAGCCTCCCTGCTGTCACAGCCTATTCCACGCAGCCCCTCGTCCTCCGGGTGTCCGACATGCCGGGTGCTCGAGCGTGCCATTAAATCGCAGGTTCAAGTCTGCAGAGAGACGCCGTTTTCATGACGTGATTTGCAATCTGTTTTTTTTTTTGTTGTTTTTTTACCTTCACCCGACTAACAAGTGAGAGAAGAAATAGCTGCGTGGTTCACTTCGAGGTCAACGCATTGTTTTCGACGTTCATTCAATCCGATTTGGACAGCAGGTTTCTCTCCTCTAGTTCACGGCCTTCACAGCTGTTATGAATACAAACAAATTGTTGCAACGAGTCCCAAACAGGCCGACAACAAACTAAAACACATGCACGCGAATTAGGATACAAACGGGAGGTGAACTGCACAACTCATTGCCCTTCAAAGTAAACTAGCGGCTGGGAGATGAATGGATGAACTGGCCCAGATGAAGATATATTGTTCACTTCTGCAGAATGCCCGAACCAATTATTGGTATTTTCTGATCTGCCACATTAACAAAGCTAAGCTAATCTTTATAACTTTAAAGAGTTAAAATAACTTGGTAAAAGTATAATTCAAATGCATTTTGGAAAAATACTACATGGATTCATAATATATTCACAAAAGAACTGTCTACAAACACTAGTATATGGGGACGTATAATGGATTTAGACCTTCTATTTCCGTGTTATCGCACTGACAAAATGCAATGTTTAGTCAAGCAAATTAAAAAAAAAAAAATCACTTGACATTTGAAAATAAGTAGTATTTTGTATTCCAAACATAATCTGCCTTTAAGTGCAGTCTGCTTGAACGCAGACGACGTAAACAAGAGCTAAAGACCAAATTACGCCTTTTGCTGTTTGACAAAAGGGCTTTAGGGCGTTAAATGAGACGCTCGCTCACACGGCCAAGATTACAGCGTACTGACCGTCAATTTAGCAACAAAAAACGCACAAAAGACCCCAACAATCCACGCGCCCCGCCCACTAATAACGGTATGACGGAGCAGTCGCTGCAGACGTAAACAGACCCGTCTGCAGTGGGACGAGGACAACGGGTAGAGCAGGAAAGTTCGTCTCCCAGCGGTTCCCAGATGAAGATCAGTGCAGCAGGCGGGAGCCAGCTGTCGGACACCCTTCGCCCTGCGATTTTACAGCTCATCACTTCAATCAGAACCCTGCAGGTCCCCCCGCGGACCAGCCTCTCGCAGATGGCCGCTCTAACTGGCAGAGAGGAAGAGGCCCGTCAAGCCCGCGTGGGCTCGCGGGCGTCCGGGGCCCGTGTCGCCGCCGGAGGAGCACGTTGCTGCACTCCAGTCGGGTTGTTTTGTTGCTGGGGGCACAAACCAGATCAGGGGGGGGGGGGGGGGGGGACCCCTCGGGGGGCTACCCGCTGTTTAAATACACATCCTTTAAGCCCTCACCATGTTGAATAGACAGAAGAAAATAAATGAATTGGGCTGCATCCAACAGTTGTTATTTTTAATCTAGCATGAAAAGACTCCCTTTGTCTGAACAACAATCCAAAAGCAGCGAATCCTCCGGTTGGGACTCAATTTCTGATTGTTCAAATCCTATTTTTTTTGGAATTCATGACAAAAGCTTTGTATACAATCAGAATCTGTTTATTTTACAGCCTTTAATGTGGATGAAGTGAGTGCCGGGACGCGCCTGTTTAGCAGATACACAAACACACCAACTAGACTCGAGCGGCAGATGAAAAAGGATGTCTCTGTTGGACAGAAGTCCCATTGTTGCGCTCCCCACATTAACACATTCAGCATCACTGGCAGCGGATCAGAGGCTGCAGGGAACACCATTAAAAGGGTTAGCAAGAGGAAGTATTCTGGCATCGGTTGCAGACAATTAAACTAAAGCACAGTGGCGGACCGATAACGAGATAAAAGCTTGTTTTCGCTGGACGCCACAAACCCCCCTCAAGCGCCGGGATTCCTCCGTCAGTGGGAATGCTGCAGGCAGATCCCTCAAGCCCCCCCACCGGTGCCATCTCTTCCCCATTTGGCTCATCTTCATCATGATGCATGAAGATGAGCATGAAGATAGCTCATCTTCATGCATTATGAAGATGTACATCTGCCCTGATATGTTGAAGCAAGGACCTACACTACGCGCCTTTTAATGGCTTATAGTAGACATGATAGACATGATAATAAAATCCACTGTGAAGCAGAATTACAAAGCACATGGAAAAATAAATAAATCAGGAAACAAACAATACAATAAAATTAGATTCTCTCAAACAAAATAACACAATAAAAACTATAAAACTTTTAAAAAATCAGTTTCAAGAAGTAGTTTTAAAAATATATATATAAATCCAAAGCACATCAAAATAGGAATTGCAAAGGTTATGAAAGTGTTTGTATATCAGCAGCCATTTTCAGATGTGTTCGGGTCCCTCAGAAGGCAGTTTAGCCTTGATATAGTTGCTAAGTAGGCCATGCTAACTAGGTGATGAACCCAAACATACCTTTAAGTTACTTATGACATCGCTAAGCCTTCGCTCATGCCGTTCAGTAGGGGTCAAAACACTGAAAATATCTTGCTAGCAAACCGACTCTAGTAGTGGAGGAGTGAACGGTAACCGAGGAGGGACGATATGTTCACATGGAAAAGCCCAAACAAGTCTCTATATAAATAACACTCTGAACCAGTTATTATTATAGCCATGTTGCATATTGGTCATTTAAATCTGCTAAAACTGGTAGCAGTCCAGCCAGTAGACCCGCTCCTCAGAGGGGGAGTTATTTCTTCTTCTCAGATCTTTATACTTATTTATCAAAATATCTTAAAAGAATTTAAATAAGCGCACCACAACCTGGGAACTCATTTTCCACTATACCGCTTATGGTGGCTTATGCAGGATCGTGGCAACCACGCATGCTTACTTGGCAACAAAAAAAAAAAAAAAAAGACAAATGCCAGCCCCTTCCGACGTTTTCTCTCTCTGATCCTGCGAGAAGGTCATCTCTACTTCCACAGCCCCCCCAGTCATCTGAATATCCACACATGAAGCCAGCCAGCCAGCCAGCACACAGCAGACCGTCCCTGAGGAGCTAGCCTCCTTTCCGCTGCTCACGGCCGTGAGGACTAAAAAAAAAAAAAAAAGCACAGGGACCGGACTGCAGAGCAGGGGGCTGGAACTGGAACTGAAGATAAAGGACGGAGGCCTGAGTGGAAACAGAAGCCGAACCCACGCAAAACACTTCTCCATCACACGCAAAATGCAAAGAGAAACAAACAAAGAAATGCAGAAGATTAAACATTTATTTATATATATATATATATATATATATATAAATACTGAAGAATGTAGTTCGAGGGAATCGGAACAGTCGCAACGAAATGGTAAGAAGTTTTCAATTCAACAAAAAAACAAAAAAAAAAGGGGGGGAGAGAGTTCCATGCACGTGAAGCAGTCTTTGAGTGCACGTCAAGCAGCCCACAAACACAGACAAGCTCTCTGCAAGCCTCCCTCAAGTTGACTCGGCTCGCATTTGAAGAACTCCCCGGCTGCTGAAAAATTCATGAACGTGAATTGATAAAACATTGATGGTTCGGTTCAACTTTTCCTTCCTTTTTGCGAGTAGATAACCAAACTATAGCACACATTAAAAACCTGCTACTTACATCTGGTAATAACCAGGTTGTTGGTGTTATGTGTCACGTGTCTAACCAGGCCCGCGACATGTGCCGAGAGGGATCGCTCGCCTCGCGTGGGCTCAACGGCGCCGAAAACTCTCCATCACGAGCCATCAGACTGAGTGCGCTCTGATTACAGTAAATACGGATAGAATGCAGAGAAATGACGCTCATCCATCTGCCGGGAGAGCTTTTGGCTGTCAGTTGAAGAACAATAACGCAAAGCCCCAACACAAAATCGTGCCGGAGGAATATTAGATCAGAGTAATAAACTTCCTATTTGATTTTCTGCAGGGGCCCAATCATTTGCATGCTGTATCTCTAACACACACACACAAACATGCATGTCAGGCTGTGAAGCCAGTTATGAATGGTCGACAGCGTGTGTGAGGTATGAGAAGGATGGAATTTGGGCGGACTGAATCTGAATCTGTTGTGCT